AATGCTCTTCATGCTTTCTGTACCTTATTATTTAATAGTTTAAGGACAATCTGGAAGGACTTAGGTTAACACTGCCAAATGCAACCTGGTATTTCAGCTTCCAGTTGTGGAAATATTTCCCATAGCTGGATGCTTGAGTGAGAAGAACACCTTCCCCACATTATTATTATCATTATTAGATTTTTATCCCACTTTTTCTCTCTCTCTCTCTCTCTCTCTCTCTCTCTCTCTCAGTGGTGAACATACCTAATGCTCCTGCCTCCTATTTTTCCCAACAACAACAACCCTGTGAGGTGGGTTGGGCTGAGAGAGAATGAACCCAGCTGGCCTTCATGACTAAGGGGGGCCTAGAACTCACAGTCTCCTGGTTTCCAGGCCAGCACATTCACCATTACACCAAACTGGCTCTTATTAGACTGGAAAATTCAGGAAATGCCCTCCTTCTGGGCATGATAACTCTCCTCCTGCTTCAGGAAGTCAATCCTGGGGCAGATTAGTTAGAACTAGGAGAAAGAGGCAGAATTTGCAAGCAGGTAGGGATGGGAAAGGATCCAATTCACTGCTTTTTACACACACTTTTCTTTCAGTTGCGAACCTGAAAAGAACTACAATGTCTCTTTATATAAAAAATTTGTCTTTACTCTGAATCACAAAATGCTGCAGTTTATAACTCTTAATCATTGCAATCAATAACACAAAAGCATCTAGTTCTTTGTTAAGGACAGTGTGAAGAATGATTCATTAGACATGGCCTTAATGAAAGACCAAGTATTACTTCCCCATTCAGGAGCAAAATATTTGTTTCAGTTGGATAAGCAGATATTTACACTGATCTATATCTTCTTCACTGAACATTTTAGTATATGTCTGTAGAATGAAATGAAAGCTATGTCTGCCTATGAGTAAACTGTTCCTTCTCCAGGGCAAAAACTGTTCTCTTGCCAAGTGTAGGATGAGAAGCAGGCTGTGAAGTAAAAAGGGCAAGGAGCTAGTTTACTTTAGATTACCAGTATGTCTCTTCAGCTGATAAAGTCAACATCTCAAGGAATAAAGAAATAAAATAAGTTTCAAGTGGAGGAAATAAACCTTTAGTACTTTATTCATAATCTATAAATATTTACATCAATGCGTCTTCTCTTACTATTATAATCCCCATCAGGGATTACATATTTTTAATAAGTATGACTAATAAAATCATACAATTCCCTTTCTCAAGGTTATTAACAGCCTGATTTATTCACTCTCTACAAAACCAAAACTAAGCAGACAAGCAGCAAACTCATGAGTCAGATTTATTAAAAATTTGTCACACTCCTACAATAGAATACCCATTTTCTGGGGACATGGCCAAAATAAATTTAATTAAATCCCTGAGAGGATTCCTTTAAATCTTGTCCTCCCCTCTTTGTTATGCAAACAGCTATTTGAGGTTAGGATAGAATATGAACCATATATATATATATCAGAAATACTTCCATTTGCTTTTAATTAGTGATGTCAGGCATCTTTAGGATAACTTTAAAAATGCTACAGCCATTAAATAAACACATATCCTGTTTTACAGGACTACACTGCACAAGCCAAGTGTCCAAGTATCTCTTAGAGCCGAACATAATGATTATAGGGACAGTAATCAGCAGGAAGACAGGAGATAGGTATTTTGATGTAAAAAATAATAATAATTTTAAAATGTTGATCTTTTTAGGAGGTCAAAACAAACAAACAAGCAAAAGACGGCTACAAATCCAGCTATCTTGTCTCTCTTACAGCCCAGGACAAAATGGCCGAAAGAAAGTGCCCAGAGATGGAACAGAGAGTGGGCATGCCCATAGGAAGCTTTAGTAACCAATAGGAAATGGGCAATTCCCCAACACTGACCATCTCATAGGCAAACTCATCGCTAAGGAACTGACGGTTTTTCTTACAGCAAAATCTTACAGAACAAATGAATACAAGTTTATGCAGAAAGAAACTATATCATGAGAACATATCCCTTAAAAAAAGGCATGCTATCTTTGTGCCACGATTGTAAAGCTGAACTATTATTGAAGTGAGGCATCAAGCTGAAAATAGGTTGCTTAACACCCTGAAACATATGCTGGCTTTCAAACCAAAGGTTACTTGTTTCATTCTGACTTCAATAAATAATGCTATTTGCATTCTAGAGGCTCCAATTAACAATTTCATAATAGTTCTATTATTATATTCATGGCTTAAAATATATACCCTAACAATTACAATTACCAAATTGTTGTGAAACACTAACAAACATACTTGTGACCATCACTGATGCTGACATTCAGTGATAGATAAGAGAATTTAACATTGGCTGCAGTCTTTTAAAACTTCCAGGTAATGTTGGGGGTGGAAGTGGGCAAAGTGTGATTTTTAAATTTCCTACACATTCTGAAGTCTGTGAGCTAATATTTATGTTTATAGGAATTCTTGGCCTATAATTTTTAAAATACTGTACTTCTCCATATATAATATCCCCCAAGAATATGTACCAGTTTGCTAAGCAAGCCATTGTAAGGTGATGTCCATCTGCTAGTTCCAGGAATCCTGCCTTACAAAAAGGCATTAAACAAAATTCTTCATAGACTTCAATCACAAATTCTACTAAGTCATATGTGGTTTAGGCATAATTTATTGACTAAATGACAGTCTGCAGCAAGACTTAAATAGAAGAATGGGAACTACACAAAACTCTTTTCTTCTTTACAGACTTGCAATGAGCTGCTGCTTTCAGATACTTAATTCTTTTTCAGTCACTGAAGAACACAGGAGCTATAGATGAAAGCGTTAACTTCTCAGCAGTATGCAAGTATAGTTCATAGTGTTCTAACACAGCAGAAGAAGCAGCCCAAGAAAATGACAAAATAAGCATGATTTACTTAGAGCACCTCCATAAGAGGATTTTTAATCACTCTGAAGACCAGTCCAGAACTGATTATATGATGTTCCCTTATTTGGGAAGCTGAACTAGGTTTTTAGTTCTTGTAATATGAAATCAAAGCAAAGCTGGATTTTTTTCTTTCCTGTGCTGCTACTGCTGAATACAACTTGTAATGGTTTGCATTCTGCTTGGCGAGAACTCTTACCTTACTTCACCTCCGGGCTCTTGGGTTCAAGTAAGGTTTAACTGTTTCCTTGCAGCCATAAAGGTTCAGTGTCCCATTCTTATATCCTTAAGGATACATTTATTTCCCTTCCCTCCTCCTTCCCTGACACTAACTACATACAACTATATTTAGCAACATTGGGGAAAGTACACAGCTCTAAAGTCTCTTTCAGAGGCTTTTAAGAAAGGAACACGATCAAGATGTTAAGCTTGGAATTACCTCTTTTTCCTCAAATATTATCCCTTGCATAAGATACAAGGATATTCTCTCAAAGTGGCAAGGATAAGAGAAGGACACTAGCATTTATTTTAAATTTTCACTTGAGCATAAATTGACATAAAGGAATTTTTGCTAGCACAGCAGACAAGGCACTGCTATTCTATAAGACAGGTGGAACAGGCAGATTGGATCATGGTAATTCCTATTTTCCCCAGTGTTTGGAGATAGACAGATTGTACCACTGACTTCAGAACAATTGCAAGGCACTCCTTTTAACGCACCACGTAGCCTACATATTTTTTTCGTTAATCAGTAACAGAAAAACAGAACTCTGTTCAAGGCTGATGGCTGGCAAGCACAAGATATAGTCTAAAGGATGTTTCAGCCCAAGAAATAGAACATCAAGTTCAATCCAAGATCAGCTGACAAGAAGAATCAGAAACAAGGAAAACAATGCCAGTCATATTTTTATAAATGTAGTCCAAAAGGCCTGAAGCATCCAAAAGAATTCTGAAGTCAGTGTTGGCTGATGACAGGGGATGGCCCCTGAACTCTACTGAACTTGATTATTCTAAGCTATGGAATTTTTATAATTTTGCTTCATCTTTAAAGTGTCTTCTGCAGGAAGAGCATGATAATTCTCACTCCATTTGCTAATTGTGTGAAAATCCATATACAAAAAGATCATGGTATTGCCCATCCTGCCTCTCCCTCCTTGATCTTATTTTATTTTATATTTTTAGGCTGCCCAATTCCATTTAAATTCTGGGCAGTGAATGATGTAAGACAATTAAAAAATAGAATACAGAGGTTCTACAGAACAAATATCTAGAAAAATAATACCAACACCACTAAAACAAAGATCCCATTTTTCAAAGACTTGTTTAAACAGGGTCAGGATAGGGACCATATAAATATCTGGGGAAGATAGTTCCAAAAGTCATGTGTTGTAATAGAGAAGTCCCACTACCTGGGCTATATACAGAGACTTTGAATATTTTAAAAATAAAAATGTATGCACGTAAATGTATTGAGGATTCCCCTCAATATATACACATGGGGAGCAGGGCAAAAAATATTTAATAGAGTTTGTATTATAAGATAATACAAGTGCATAGATAGCATGGACAACAAGAAATAAGTACAGTATCTACAGCACAGAACAGAAGTAAATGATGGTGTGTGCTGTGAAAAAGCTTATCTATATGAAGGGCAGGAAGCACTACCCCCACTGTGAAGGGACATCACAGCATCAAAAATTATTGAAATATGATTAGCTAAAATATCCACCAAAATCTAGATTGGTTGATAAAGCCACAGGAGAAAACAAATCAATAAACGAAGTAGAAATTATCGCTATAATGATCAATTAAAAAGGTAGATTTAAAAGGATTTGAGAAAATATACCAGGAGCTTCTAAAAATCTGCTTTTCCCCTATAAATGCTTATAGGAAAATACAGAATAAACCCCGTTTACATAGGAATTTATAAGCCTTCTGCATATTACTGATTTCCATCAGGCTTAATGATAAAATGGAGGGACAGAATTGGTGTATCTATTTGGCCAGTGGTTAATTTCTAGTAAAACAACAATACAAGATCCTATAAGTATAAATAGAACCAACCTTAACTAAGCTGTAAAGTACAAGAAATTCCTACCTTTCTTTTTAGACTCTTTCTTTGTGCTGGTTTTAACAGCCACTTGAAGTTCTGTCTCAGTTGACATCCTATTGTATCCTTAGTCCTCTTCACACAGATCCAGTATCTTGACCAGGCTCATTTAGAACAATTCTTCCAGAGAATTACTTAGCTTTTCAAATACTAGAATCGAAAGAGCTCATTTCATTCACCCTTTTGGAGTGCTACAATAAAAAAACAACATAATTAAGCCATCTTAAGAATAAGATTTTCTAAGACATATTAAGGTTCAGCTGAAACTTCCTGTCTAATGTATGTTAATTCTCATGTATGTTGAAAAATAAATCCTATTTTCTATTTCTCACATTTATGAGAGTTACACTAACTGCAGCGGGATACAAAAGTAACAAATAAATACTATGAATGATTTTGAAGTTTACTGAAGTCCTTAGAATTTCTTACAATTTCTACACACACACAATGTTTACAAACATACACGTGTTGTATTTATAGGGGTGTGTGTGTGTGTGTGTGTGTGTGTGTGTGTGAAAAAACTGTTCAATGTATCTCTCTCTATGAACTGAAAGTGGCTTATAATGGGATCTCTTCATTTTATCTCCACAACAGCAACCGTTGCCTGAGGTTAGATTTGTACCTGGCGCTCCCTGTTGCTCCTAACACCTCAACCATAACAACAACTTACTGGCAATCTTATATATAATATTTATATCTTGTATATTATTATATATTAGGGCTGTAAGGAATTTTGAAGGTGTGCTTCAGTTTGGAGAAAATCCAAAAGAAACACTCCTTCAAAGCAGCATCCTAGACTGAAGGACTATCAGTCTGATTAGAATCATCATCCTGCTTCAATCTTGATATTAAAAAAGACTTGGAATAAAATTCTGAACCAAGATGGTAAATTTTAATACTTTGAGTTCAGATGGTACAATTCAATTTTCTGAGTAGAAACTAGAGTCTCAAATTGGATTACTATAATTACCCAGATCAATCCAGTATCTCAAGCCAGAATGGTTTTCCTTCACACAACTCTAGCAGATAGATAGACAGATAGAGTTAGCTATCATACATATAACATACAAACAGAAGCAGAACAAATACTCAGTGTTCTATCCCTCTTCCACTAGCCCAGCTGATTGCATTCAATTTTTTTTATATATATATATATAGCTACCAAGCTACTGCTTGAAGGGAAAGTTGTAGACACTGTGGCAAAAAAAGTGTGTTGTTTAAACCCATCATGGCATGTCAACAAAAATGTACATTTGGATACTGTAAACAAAAGCATAGTCTTGAACATAATAATTAATTTTAAATATCAGCGGCAATAAAAGGTGTTGAAGAAAGAGGAAAAGTGTATTAAAGAAGCAAGCCAGAGAGACTTAAGGGAAATAACTACAGGTAGTCCTCACTTAATGATGGTAATTGGGACCAGCAACTCCATCGCTAAGTGTGATGTCACATGACCATGCCGATTTACGATGGCAGTTGCGGCAGTTCTAGTTCTGTTGTTAGGTGAATCCTGTGTGGTCCCAGCATCCCACAGTCACATGATCACCATTTGCGACCACCTGCTGGCCTCCCCATTGACTTTGCTTGCTGGAAGCTGGCAGTGAAGGTTGCAAATGGCAATCATATGACCGTGGGTTGCTGCAATGTTGTAACTGCAAACCAGCTGCCAAACACCCAAATCACGATCACGTGACTCTGGGGATGCTGCAACAGCCACAACTAAGAGGACCCATCATAAGTACCTTTCATTCAACGCCATCATAATTTTGAACGGTTGCTGAATGGGTGGACGTTAACCAAGAACTACCTGTATATTGTTGGAAGCAGTGGTGATCACATGACTGTGGGACACTGCAACGTCATAGTTACAAGCCAGTTGCCAAGTGCCCGAATTGCAATCAGTGACCACGGGGACACTGCGAAAGCCGCAACTATGAGGTCATAAGTCCCCTCATTCAGTGCCATCATAACTTCAAACAGTTGCAGAACAAGTGGTTTCTGAACGAGGACTACCTGTAGTAATAACACAAAACAAATGTTGGCAGGGTTATTTTTTATAATTGTTGAATTTGAAGAGAATAGACAATGGAAACTTATACCTATATTTATTTGGAGGTTAAGGTATTTGATTATTTTATCCACAATTTAACAATGTTCAATACCTGTTTGCTATCATAATCAGCATAAAATATTTAAATTTAATTTTTCAGGATAAATCTCTTTATGGAAAATGGATTATACTTCAATTTTCACAGCAGATATTATTGTTCATAAATAACACATTGACTAACTGAAAATAAGTCTTCAGAGTACATTGTCTAGAATTTTCAGGACTTTTTTTTTACTTGAGTTTATAAAATTTTGCATGGTGGAGTGTTCCATTTTACAATAATAGTTTTCTTCAAGGAGATCTGCAAAAGGGGAAATATTAAATAATATTATCAAATATTTTTTAAAAATAGTAAGGAGGTAAGATTACTAGCATTAAATAACTATTATAGGAGTTAATGTAGTATCACCTGACACACACTAAAACAATTAGTTTTTATGCATCAGAAATAATCATGTGAATTAAAGTTATTACCATACAAAAAAGTTATTAAAACAGAACAGACAGAAAAGGGAAAACACAACATTATTGTAGAATGGGGAGTTACAAATGAAAAAGAAACAAAATATAGGCAATCACTGAGAGTTACTGGATTTAAAACTAGAAAATAGATAGTAGAAATGCTTTCTGGATCAATTATTTCCACCACTCATGAACATTTTATACATCTATCTTGGATTTCTTTCCAAAACAACGTATCAACAATTTTCTTATTAATGGGAAAAGCACTTCTGGTTGCACAGAGAAATCTGGCTGTTCTCTTCATAAGCATGCTATTATTGTTATCCCAGTAGAAAAATCATTCATGTAAGGCTATCAGTATGACTGATGCTTTACATAGTACTGTATATGATGCAAAAGAAGCATGCCAGCATGAAAGTACAAATCAACTATTGAATGATAGAAAAATATTGTCATTCTGATGCATTATAGTTTCTTATCTCAAAGCTGCCTGGTCATTTTGTTCAGCATGAAGGACTGTTATCAGAAACAAAACTAGTTGTACTGCACTAAATTCTAACTAAGCCAAACTGCTGTTGATGTATACATTATACTTCATCAAGAATATCTTATTCTGAAAAATTTCATGGTGAAATATTGAAAAATCCTTAAGGCTAAAAAATATGTCCATAATTCAGAGACCAATGGAATGCAATCCCACATGCAGTACTATCCTTCTACTTTCTGCTCATATTTCAGGAGCAACATTGCTCTTCCCCAATATGAAAAAACAAAAAAACATATTGATGCTGTTCTAATTCTGGTTAGCATTTGTCCACCTAGAAATACATTCCCTTTAAATTTTACAGCCCTTTATAGAAAGAAGCTATCACTTGAATTTCATAGATGTGCACTTTATCTACTAGGGCTCCAGTATCCACAATATCCTCCAGTATTCTGTTATGTTGAGATGGTGTGTTTTATGAATCTTATTCTATCAGGTTCACTTTCTGCAACAATGTCTTTATTCTTTGTGTTCAATTATATCTGCAACCATAGAGATGAGAATCTTATAAAGTAGAAAAAATAAATATAAAATCAAGAAGCTGACTGCAACAACTTAATAGTCAATTCCTAAAACATTTTTTTGTCTTTTAACATTTTTGTTGATTAGGTTCCTTTTACCTGAGTTTAGCATCTTTCTTCCTGCTAATGTCATGGTAATCAACTACATTCTTCTCTAGCATCTTATCCTTCTTGAGCCTTGTCTCCCTGAGAGATTCTCTCATTCCTGTGTACTGAGCTCAGCCTTCGGTGCACAAATTCTTCTGCATAAACCTTGGCTTACGTGACCTCATATAAATTGTCATTACAACAGGGATTTAGTCATTTAGAATGACCTTCTCCATAAAACTCAGCATTCCCAAAGTGCCACCAGCTGAATGCCCCTAAAGTCCTTTTATTCCTCCCTGTGACTCGACCCAAACAGGACTCTTCACCCCTCAGTTGCTAACAATGGTTTAAGAAATTCAGTATCTTACAATCCAAAGATTAAAGCTTCTTGATGCTTCAGGGTGATTTCAATAAGTGATTTAAATTAAGTCTGTAAAACTACTTGCCCTTTTCAAATTCAAGTTCTTTCAACGTTTTGAAATGCTTCAATAACTTTACATGGCTATGCACAATTTGAACTCATTTAATATTCTTTTAGTGTGTCAAGGTTTGTATATGGTTCTTCTTAATGAGCTCTTCAGATCTGTACATGAATTATGCAATTTTTAAAAACAGATCCTCAAAGTCTGTACAACAGGTTGAGAAGGATAAAGTTTCTGCCATCTCTCCCAGAAACCCAAATAAACTTCCAAACCACCTAATTGAGCCAAAAGTAAATCTACTCATTTCTAAAGTCACCAACTTCCAAATGGGTTGTAAATTATCTTAAAAGAAAATGAAGAATTAAACTATGCAATTAAATAAGTTGAGCTAATATAGACATCTTGACAAAACTATGTTTTAAATAAGGTAAAATTATGCAGAAACCATAAAATAAATTTGAAACCCTAACCCTTGAAAAGTCCACCAAGACTTGAAGCCCCCTACATTTGTGCTAATCTGACACTGGGTTCCTTTCCTTGATATGTGATCTGATGCTTTTTCCAGCTTGGCTGCAATACAGCTCAAATTTCTCTCTCAGAAATTTCACAGGCAACCTTAACAAAGCCTTAAAACATTGGCAAGACTTATTTGGCACTCATTTGTCCCTTACAAACTCCCAAAAATCCAAAGAACAAAACAGAGTCCCTACTTTTTAAACTCTTCACTTTCTCTAAATACGTCTAGTCAATGCCTAGTTAATTTACAATGTTAAAAAACAAAAACTGTCAGCTTTTCTAAGTAGGATGTATCAAATGCTTGCATCCCTCTACTCAGAAAGTCCTCAAAGCAGCCACATCAAGCCTTCCTGAAGGCATTTTGTCTTCAGTATTTGAGTACTCTCCTGAATAATACCAACAATAACATCATCTTGTTAGTTTATGCAGCAAAATGTGTTTGGAAAGATATCTAATGGAAGAACACAGGAGACTCTTCAAAGATGCAACAGTGTTTATACCAAAACAATTTTATCTGTTCACTATATACTGTGTGAAAATCCAGTTAACTTATAAACTTCTCTATGTATTCAACATCCTCTTCAATATATAAACAAGAGGTAGAAGAAAGACTTTAGATCCACCTATGATTACATTCTAAAGTACTATATACAATTTTACAGTGCATTTCTCTTGCTTTATATAGTAATCCAGCATTACATCTGCAAAATCTTGTCATATAAGACAGAATCAACAAAAGGCTATGCCATCAAAGGATTCTTTGGTCAATGATACTCAAAACTAATGAGAAGCCGAACAAAATCAGCAAGCATACTTTTCTCTTTTCTAGTTCTTGGTATACAGGTAGTCCTTGCTTAACAACTGCTCATTTAACAATGGCTTGAAGTTACAACAGCCTTGGAAAAAGTGCTTTACAACTTGTACTCACACTGTTGCAAACCATCACCCCCCCCACAGTCATGTGATTGCTATTTGTAATCTTTTTTACAATGTTGTTTAGTGAATCACATGGTCGTTATGCAAATTCCAGCAAAAAACATCCATTTGGGAAGCTGGATTTGCTTAACAACCATTGTAAAAATGGTTAGAAAATTTGGTTTGGTCACGCAGTGACACACTTCATGACCACCCTGCTTAATAACCAATTTCCCAGTCCCTATTGTGGTCATTAAGCAAGGACTACCTGTAGATTGTTTTCTAAAGACTATGATGGAAATCAGTCAGGTCAATGCTTTTACTGTCAATCATAGCAGCATAAATTTTGTTGCATTCATAATAATTACATCAATATTGATTTTGCAACAGTTTCAACAGTTGTACACTTCATTCATACAGAGTGGCATGTAAATACCATTCCCAGAAAACACAACACAGAATATTTTATTAAGCCCACAACAACAAAAATATACTCACTTTTTAATTTGTTTAAAAAATGAAGAGATATTTAGGATGCTGTTGATTCAGACCATATTGTTAAAATTAAACTTAGAAGGCACTATAGAAAGAAATTCCTGAATAAACTATTCACACATCTGAAGGAAAATATCATGGTGCAGAAACAAAAAGCTAAGTAGAAATCAAGGTTGAAGCCTTAGACAATCTTTTTCCAATTCTCAAATTCAATGCTTTTATCTGTAAAATGGGTGCAGCAGAAATTGTTATGAAGAATAATCCAATCAAGACTGTCAAAAACAGTGAAATGTCAGAAGTCTATCCAAATTATAGGACATAAGGAACACTTTTAAAGCAGGTTCCTTAACTAAAAGTATAATTATATTATTGTTTTTCTTAAAAGAAAATGACAATGGTAATCATTATTTAGCTTGAGTTGAGGAGTGGTGGCCTCTTTCTTTTGATTAAACTCTGTTTTATACTCCATGCTTTATTAAGATGTAGAACTAGATTGACAACGGGAAGGACGCATTCAATAGCCCCCCAGTCTAGATGCAATGAGTTGTCTTTCAAGTCATTTCAACTTAAATGGAAGGAAGCTTTTCCCCTTTAATTATCACGGCATATTATTTCTTTTTAAGGAGCTGTCAGGTACACAGCATTCACTTAACTGATCTCTCATTCAGATGATAACAATGAAACTGTTTCACAGGAGTGGCTGTTTAAACACAATATAAATAACCTCAATTTCCCACAGGGGGGGAAATGATTAAAACAAAAACATACTGATGAAAATTGCTTTCTACAAGTCAAACAGCACTAGCTTTAAGCAGAAATCTTAAGAAGTGGATTGCATGATAGCTATTAAAGTACCATTAGACTACAATATAGAATTGCATTATATTTGTGAAATAAGAATTTCAAGTTAAAAAAAGGAATAAAATAACATTGCTTTTATACTGTCATTTTTAAATAACATGCTTAGGAGACATTAAGTCCTGCATAAAATTGAAAGCAAAAGCATTAGTTCCATAATGTATTCCACCCCATCCCACAACAGATTTTTTTTAGATTTTAGATTTTACCACTGGCTTTTCCTTTAAAAAGAAAAAAGAAAAACACAATTTCACAAATGAATGAATGAAAGGGTAAAGTTGGAGAGGTATTTTAGATTCACTGATGGAATGGTGAAAGGGTAGACCTTTTTTTTAACCAGGTGAGAGTTTTGCCATTTTACCCTTCTAGACCAAGAAAGAATGGTAAAAATATAATTTTTGTTCTTTTTCTTCTTCTTACCAGTCCACTGATGGATACACCAGATAAGCAGGTGTCTAGTACAAAGAAGGCTGGCTCACACAAAAGGCCTATCAATGGAAACCATATGTCCTCAAAAAGCTACCCATTGAAAGCAAACAAATGGGTGTTTTTTTTTCCCCCTAGCATGGATGGAATGGGTAAGAAAACAGAGAAATCCTCTAATCAGGGCTTGTGGTAAGTACCTTTACCAATGCCAAAGCAGATAGAAGGGCTATAAAAGGATGTAAAGTAAGTTATGAAAATCTACTATGTTTTTACTTCATTTTGTGACTATACCTGTGGCACCAGATGATGTATTCACTACTGCTTTTTCATTAGATGGCAGCTAATGATATTTTAACCCTGCACTAGCAGCCCCTCTGCAATACCCATAAAAATCCATAGTAGAGAGGGAAATCCCCTTTAGCTCTATGCAGAAATCAAATCCTAAGGCACTGATAGTAAAAACTTTATCCAACTACCATTCTGAAATGCCTTTCCGGTTACATTTCTATGATTCACATCATTTTCTTTCAGACTATCTTCCTCCACTCCCATCACCAAAATCCTAGAGGAATGGTAAGAGAATCTTTAAAAAAAAAAAAAAAGTTAATACTGTAAAGGTTCTTGAACAATTTGGCCCACTTCATTCTTCAACAGCTAAAGTATGCATGCAATGTTTACTCAGTTTGCTCAAACCACACTTTCCTGAAGTTATTTAATACACATTCAAAAACCATTATTTTCCTAAGTAAAAGCATCCTCTGAGGTAGTTCAAAAAAATTACTTTTCTCTAAATTGTCAAATCATTGTCCAAACTGAATATTTTGATCAATGTACATCCCTAAAACAAAGTTACTACCCTTTGTAGGAACTGTTTCATTAACTAATAATTTCAATAAAATATGCATACAAGACCCTATCAATTGTTTTATAGTAATATGGATATAGTCCACTAAATTTATTAAAAACTTAAAACAATATCACATTCTATTACTTTTTAAACAACAGCTGTGAGGGCAAGGATAATTGTTATCAATACATTAAAATTCAAGCCTCAGAATAAGCTCTCTTCCTCAACGCCTTTTGTATTCAAACTTAAGGCTTTTGTGTGACTTGTGCAAGTCAACTCTAAAATATTGTCCACATTCCATCTATTTTTAGTATCCAAATTAGAACGGCAAGCAAACTGCTATTCAAAGTAACAGCTTTCATTGTCTCTGCTAATCTAGGTCATTGTCCCTATTTTTTTTTTTTTTTTAAAAGGAGTAGCTTGTGTTATCAGTGTGATGTCATTTCAGCTCTGATCTTTTGCTGTATGTGTTAAAGCAGTCCAATCCTATCCCTCCTTTTTAAAATTGCTGATTTTTCTAAAGTGTGCATTTTTGCTACAGTATTTATTACTACAGTGTTCATATAACTGCAAGTTACAAAATGTCTTTATATTATCAAAACCCAAAAAAGCGGATTCTTTTTTGACTGAGCAGAAGTAATGAAACACATTTTTTAATTAATTGACTTTTAATTCTTGGAAAAGGGTAGTTTATACCCTGAATGCCTCTAATGGTGACAGGATACTCGGTAATTAGAGAACTAAACATTTTGAAAACCAGAGTTAGATACCTGAAGCAGCTGAATGGATCTGTCCTTATGGAGTCAGAGACACCAAAACCACACACATACTGTGCTTCCCCTCTCTTTTGCTCTTCACACAGACCTTGCAATTCTTCTAAACAGATGTTCTGGTAGGACAAAGAAGGATTAGGGTGTAACCTCCTCCTCCCAGTGGATGAAATCAATTACAGTTGCCATCATAACTATTGAAAATGCCCTAGAATGAGCAGCTGTAAGACTGTGTCTTGGATAATGATTTATATTTCTACTCTTTTTATGATGGTTTTTAAATAAATCTTTTCTTTTCTTTCCTTTGTCCCCCTTTTTTCTCTTCTGAAATTCTGATTACTAATTAAAATAAATTATGATTCACTATTACACTTTGCTTTGACAATTAAATAAATTCCTTGAGTCATTTTTCTAGCTTAGGTAAGGTACACTTTCTCTCCAAGGACTAATCAAGGCATATCAGGTTTGCGTGTGAAAGTCTAATCAGGATAAGCTGATACATCATTCTTTACATTTGTTTTTTATGTTGTTTTCTGTGTATTTTTAAAAAAAATTGTAATAAACATTAAAAAATAGAAAAAGGATGGCATCCATATGTCTCGCCTCTGGTAAATGAAAGAAAAGTTCAATGAGGGCATATTATTTTTGCGTTTCCTTCATGTTGCATTACTACATATATTAAGAATGGGCTGCATAAGCTCAACTCTTGAGCATGTGACCAGGAAGGGTGGACGGGGGTGGGTTGGTAAGAATGCAGTAGGAGGCAGCATTTTGAGCTACTACCAGATTGTCTCTCCCATAGGGAAGCCCTGGGAAAAAATAATTCTGGAGTATTTTTCTCTGCAGCCCCTGACCTGATCCATTTTTTAAAACTATATATGAGAGAGAGAGAGAGAGAATGTGCATTCCATTCCGTTTTCAGAGGATTATCTTGCTGGTGGACAGAAATATGGAGAGAAAGAGAGGAGGGAGGGAGGGAGGGAGGGAGGAAGGAAGGATAAATGAAGACGAGAGCACAGGCCACCAATAGAATCTGGCCTACTCATTTTAATTTGATACACATACAGGAATAAGTAGCCATGCTAATAATTAACAATATTTGTTAAACAAATATGGACAAATCTACCAACTCTGGTTGCTCCTTAAATTTATTCCCCTCAGACCTATTAGTATTTCTGTCTTACTGATGCATCAGTTTTTAATTTTTCAAAACAATCTGTAAGAAATTTATATCAGTTTCTAATATCCATTTTATATATAATTCCCATATATATATAATGCATTTCCATACATTATTTTCATTACATCAGTGTCAAGGTTTTTTTTTTTTTGGTAATAAATGCTTTTGTACCCATCTTAACTAAACATTTTAATTAAAAACAAAATTCAGAAAAATACAATTTGGTTTAAATTATGCAAAGTTGGCACATTCCTCATAAAATGCAAACTAAACAAAATTCTCTATTTTTAGAGTACATACAATTCTTTCCTTATTTATCATCCTTTTAAGATCACAGACACAAACACAAACCTTGATTAATTTGTGACAGGTTAGAGATACCACATTTCATATCCATACAACCAGCAGACTATCAGATGTATTACTTAAACTTCATACAGAAGATACAGAGACATTTGGGGAACCGAAACTCAATCATAGTAAGTAAACGACTGTTATGCAATTACTATTGTGTACACTTATTTACATATATATCAAATTTGTCACCACCCATCTCGTTACAAAGCATTATAAGTCTGTATGAGTACGAAGAAGTACTTCTGAATGTATTAAGGATTAATTATTTCCTATGTCCTTTTTAAACCAACCCACATTAATTAAACAAAAGAATTGAAGACTTGTTCCGTATTATGTTCTTAAGTCAGGTAGCTGAAGTTGAGAGCAAAAGTTTCCTAGAATTTTATTACACTATATTGTTTGTTAAAGTACAAAACAGAGTCAAGTGGAAAGATCTTTCCCTAGTTACCACATGTTTTTAGCAGAAACATATAATTTATTTATAAACACAAGCCACACCAGTCTTATCCTTCTGCCACATTTTTGCCATAATTTTGATGAGGCAATTTGCCCAGATGCTACTGTGCCATAAAATCCCAATCCTATCTATCTTCTTGCAGAAGCCTCAAAAAAAATATTTTTGCAAATTTCTACACACAAAGGTACAAAAGTAAATCACAGGAATAAAAAAAATAGTGAAAGAAAAAAAGCATAATCTGTTTTCTATTAAAAAATAGAAAAGTACTGTAAGCATTTAAGTCTTTAGCTGCAACTTTATCCAAGTCGTACTGAAATCGGTGACAGTTACTTTTGAGCAAATATGCATATAATATTTATTGATTTATTAATTTATTTATCAAATTTGTATACCGCCCAAATCCCAACAACTCTGGGCAGCTAGAATAGCAGTATTATTGATATATGCAATCATAACTTCAACAGCACCCAGCTATGCAAAACATTAATGTTAGATTCCATAACATATTCTAAAACATATTTTTTAGAAAACTGGTTTTCAATTATCTAGTATCATTTCTTATGCAAACACAGAATAGCTACTGCATAAGAGAATGCCAGTGAGAGCCTTTGTGTTTCTGTGTGTTTGTATGCATGTATTGTGAAATTTATACTCACATGCTCCTCCCACACTAGCTCATATTATGACCAAGGTTCTATTCAAGGAAAACAAAACAAGGATTTTACATATAATATGTGCCCACCATGTGCTAATCCCTTTAAGACAAAATTATGTTAAGTGAAGTGCAGGAAAAACGTAATAAATAGTAAGCAAACATGTAATGAGATAAAAGAGAAGGAAATAGAAGGAAATAATTTAGTCTCCGCTGCCATTCACTACACTTCTCCACAGCTTTCTATCCTTAGAATTTGTCCTTGCTTCCACCACATATATACACCATTTCATAGATTACCTTTTGTTCTTTAGATTTTTCACCTCTTTTTGAGGATCTCACCAATGCCATCCAATTCCAACTTCCTCTGTATTCAATCATCACCCATTCATTTTTGACTTTGTCACTTTTAATTTTATCACATACCCTTAAATATCACATTCCCACTGCATTCAACTTACTTTTTTGTTCCCAACGTACTACTATATGCCTTGGTTCTTACTAAATGGCCCATAGATATTGACCTCTGCTACACATCACAGCCTCGATCAACTGAAGCTGTCATATAATGCTCTTTACTAAGATAAAGAAGGTGTAAACTGGATTATCAGCCTTGGTCATACCTATGCCACATGCAGCATATCCTAATGATGAGGATAAAACCAGTCACTTGTGGTACATGCTATATACTAGGTCACAAGCACAATTGGAGCACAGTTTTACCCCATTAATAATTACACTAAACCGAGCAAGCTAGGATCTCTAACTATCTTGCAAGACAACATACTATTGCTTACATCCCACCAACTAATAGGATGCACTTTGGAAAAGACTTGGTGTTCAATATGCTGGCTTTCTACTGTAAAAATGGAACTTTTTCAGAGACCCCTCAACATATGAGTTAACGCTATCAGTTATTGTGTTATGTTATTTATTGCATTTTTATTTGGCACTTGCAGATGTGGCCTTTGACAGCCTAAGGCTGAGGCTTGAAGGCTTAGAGAAGAAGGAAGCCCAGGCAATGGACTTCACAGGTATTTACAGTACAAAGAAATAAAAGAAGAAATGAATCTGAAGGAATTTATTATACCACAAAGTTTGTTAAAAATTTGCAGTCTTCTAAAACCAAGGGTAAGTCCAGCAATCCCACCATTAGCATTACAATCAAATGCTTTTTACTCCAAGGACAACTATAGTAAAAAAGTCTTAATTACACATGACAACATGACATGTCTAGATTCAGAAAACAGATTAAAGATACAACAGGGAATGCTCAATGAAGGAAGAAATCTACCATGGTTAGTGTATCTCAAAATAACTGGAAAAATAAAAAGTGATCTTAAAAAAGGAGGGACCTTGAACAGATTAAAGATGCAACAGGAAATGCTCAATGAAGGAAGAAATCTACCACGGTTAATGTATCTCAAAATAACTGGAAAAATAAAAAGTGATCTTAAAAAAGGAGGGACCTTGAAAAATATGACAGAATTTGAAACACTTGAAATTTGAAAATCAAGATAATCGATTAGGACACATTTATAAATTGTTATCGAAATATGGGGGTGTAACAAGTTAAAAACTGTATGATACAATGGATGCAAAATTTGAGAGAAGTAATCACAGTGGATCAATGGGAAGAGTTATAGAAAAATTAATAAATTTAATTAAATTTAAGTTAAAGAGAAAATTAGTATAAAATGTTCTACAGATGGTACATAATGCTATTAACGATTGTCAAAATAGGCAAAACGTGCAACCATTGTTGGAAATGCCATAATATAGAAGGAAAATCTTACCATGTGGTAGCTATGCAAAAAACTAAAAAATATTGGACAGAAATACACCAAAATATTTTTTAAAAATCCTAAAAATAAAATTTGAACTTAAACCATAAATATTTTATTAGGTATAATTCCATAAAGCATAAATGAAAAATACCATAATTTACTAAGATATATGTTGACAGCAGCAAGAGCAAATCTGGCACAACATTGGAAAAGAGTAAGTTTGCTGTCATATCAAACTAGGTGACCAAAATTGGAGAATATGCTGCAATGGCAAAATTGACAGTATACATTCATAACAGAAATTTAACCAAATTAAAGCAGAAATGGTTCCCTTTTATAAAACAATTTACACAGCAAGGCAGATTTAGTTATGTGGGAGATGGTTTCTAGGATTTAAACAGAAACCAACAACAATCATTAATGTTCAGTGCCTTCTCTGTGGTGGCCCCACACTCTGGAAAAACATCCCTCCATAGATACAGATGGAGTCCACTCTCCTGGGGTTCTGAAAACCCTGTAAAACCTGGCTATGGTCTTAGGAGTTAATGTGCTTTGAGGGGTCCCTGTCATGCTATGTTTTAATGGCTGTTTTTACTCCTGGCTGTTTTGTTTTGTCTAAAATTTAGATTTTTAAATCTAAAATCTTAAATATAAATTTAGATATTACAATTTAGTATTAGATTTTGCAAGCTGCCCAGAGTCTGGTGGAGTAGGCAGCTTGCAAAATAAATTTAGCAAAATAAATAAATAGTAAATAATAAATATTTAAACTGTGGTTAGCAGTTGGGGACACAAATAGAAGGGATGAGGAGGATGTGTTATCAGAAAGTTTTCTCACTGTTTTTTTTTTTAATCTACATTCAGTAGTTATTCTTTTGTTCCATCTTATTGTCTTCCTTACTTTCTTTTGTATTCTGTTATTTTAACAATTAAAAAAAATCATATTTAAAGAAAAAAAAAGAAGTGGGACAATAAAATTTTGTCCAAGAACTCTATACAGAAATAAAAACAATTAAGCCAAATGAATAAAACAAAATGAAATATTTAAGATCAATGATGATTTCAGAGAATGAACATGGTATTGTTTGTTTACAATTTATCAGACTGCCCAACCATACTCAAGATATCACTCACCAGCTTCTAATTCCATTGTTTTCAATCAACAAATTAGTTCCTTTCCTTTGTTGTTCAGTTATCACCACCAATGTAGCAATTTAGACTAACACCTCTGGAGAGAAAATGCTTTATTAAGCATTTTACACTGCCCAGAGTCTCTTTGTGTGAGATGGGTGGCTATATACGTATGATAAATAAATAAAAATAAATTAAACTGTAAGCTGCACCTAGTAAATTAATCCTGCTGTACATTCAAGCAACCAAAGGACAGGATACACAATTTGGTTATATTCAGGTTGTTCCTGAACTGAAAATGAGACAAAGCTATTACCTGAATATATAGTAAGTATTCCTGCCCTGTATTCCTTGAATGAAGCTGATCTCTAAATTTGCCTTATTCCTGATGTGGAACTTTGGTATCCCTTTGTTCCTGGAAACTATGTGTTTGCTACTAAATTATTGTTTGGATGTCACATTACAACATAATATTTACAAGATGAACATAGAGTGAACTGGTGGCTTTGTCTGCCAGAAGTAATTAATAAACCCAGAAATTCTGCCCAGGTTTTCATTGTGTTATGTGAAACTGAAAGTCTGGCTCTTCTTTTCTTAACAATCTAGAGTCATAAATCAAGAATAAAACTGGTTTAATGTGATATTCAAACACTGCCTATATATGTATTGTCGAAGGCTTTCACGGCCGGCATACGATGGCTGGTGTGGGTCTTCCGGGCTGTGTGGCCGTGTTCTGGAAGTTTTGTTTCCTAACATTTCGCCAGCACCTGTGACCGGCATCTTCAGAGTGCAGGAGCACCGCCCCCCCCAGATCTCTATAAATACCCACAAAAGGGTCACCTCATCCTG